TCCTTTCCAAAACAATTATGGAAGAAATTGAACCTCAGATAACAGTAGCATTAGATCCATTGCATTTAGGGGGAAAAATGGCATAGGCTGTGCTGGGGTTGAGGATATTAAAAATAAATCAGCTGTGTCCACACTTTCATAAAGATCATAATCCACATGAGGTGATATCATGTGAGTTGAATTTGTGGGTTGAGACATATAGTTAACGCTAGAACAAAGGAAGAAGCCACAAACTAGACAATAGACACCAAGGTGGGGGTTGATTAGACTGGATGGAGAAAGATTTTGAAGAAGACCGAGAGGTGACCAAGAGACTGAATTTTAAATAATAAACGGGGTCCCAGCACATAATGTGATGATGTGAGAGGAAAGAATATGAACAAAAGCACATATAACATGCATAAAACCTTCAGAGAACTATGAGCATTCAAGATTTACTAAGAACATGAGGTGTGACAGATGGAGATGAGACCAAAATCATCAGTGAGAACAAGATTCTGGCAGGGTTTCTATACCAGTACTTGGAATTTTTAAAAACATATATTTATTTCTTTGATTGTGTTGGATCTTAGTTGTGATGCTCAGGGTCTTCATTGTGCATGTAGGATCTTTTGTATCAGAGCATAGACTCTAGTTGTGGCCCTTGGACTCCAGAGCGTGCAGGCTCAGCAGTTACGGTTAGTAGGCTTAGTTGCTCTGTATGTGGGATCTTAGTTCCCCAACCAGGAACAGAACCCACATCCCTTGCCTTGCAAGGCAGATTCTTAATCATTGGACCCCCAGGGAAGTCCCCAGTACTTGGGATTTTGAACTTCAATCTCTAGGCAGTGTGTGGTCATTGTGGACTTTAGGAAGGAACATTTTGTGACACCAGCTGCAATTTCTATTGCTGACTTGCCATCATCAATTTTAAGGTAATAAAAGACTAGAGCATGCATTTGGTCCCACCTTTCATTTTTCTCAGATCTGAATGGGGTGTAGAAACTGTGGGAGCTCATCAGTGGAAAATATAAAAACAGCCTTTCTAATATGATTTCCTATTCACTTATTTTCCTATCCCTAAAAAATATAAGCCAACTTTACTTCATTTGATAATATTGAGGCACTAACCATAATTGATATTGACAACACTAGAGCATACAGGCAGCAGGTGACCTCTATCTTCTCATTTTTTGGTTCCTTCCAACTTCACCACTGAATTATAAAAAAAGAAGTTGAGAGGCCACTTGATGCCAGAGTTAAAGCTGCTCTAGGTGGAGACAGAACAGAAATGCAAAAAAGGACTCAACATTTCCCCTCCCCAGGAAAATGCAGACAAAATTGTTTCCTTAAGACCTTTGATCTAAAGAGGGGCCACAAGGCCCACCATGTGTCCTTGCCCTCGTGCAGGGGAAAGAGCTCAAGGCCAGGAGTTGAGGCTGGTGTCCTAATAGGATTGTTCACATTGAAATGTATAAACTTGGACAAGTCTTTTGATTTGTTAGAATCTATAATGTTCTTGTATTTAAATTGCATGGAACGCTAACTGCCCTACTATATAAGTTTGCCAGGGCTACCATAACAAAACAACATAGGCTAGGTGGTTTAAACAGCAAAATTTTAGCTTCTCACATTTCTGGAGGCTAGAAGTCCAAGATCAAAGTGTTGACAGGTTTGCAGATGGTCACTTTATCGTTGTGTCCTCATTTGGTCACATCCTTCCGTCTGTGTCTCTGTCCTAATCTTCTCTTCTTATAAGGACACTAGTCATATTGAATTGAAGTCCACCCCGATGACCTCATTTAACATCAATTACTCCTTTAAGGACCCTGTCTCCAAATATAGTCACATTCTGAGGTACTGTGTATGAGGCTAGCACATGAATTTTGGGGGGAGGACACAATTCAGCCCATAACACCTGCTTACATTCTGGTGGTTGTTTTTAAGGGGCCAGTAAGATGATGTTATTTGGGTAAGCATAAATCTTATTGTGAATCCAGAGTATTTGTGATTATGGTTGCCTTTGGTTATAGCTCTACAGTTGACTGAGTCCTCCTTTTGGTCTAATGTCCTATTTTCTTTACTATCCTAGAAAGCTGATGGAGTTCTCTGGTGTTAATTTTTCCTTCGAGTATAAACTCACCTACTTTTGATTATGCACACATGCATGTTACCCATCCTTCTATTTTATTTTAACCTATGTTGCTAGATTTTACCAATATTTACCAATAAATATTTACCAATATTTATTTCTTCTCTGCTTATGAGCACATAGAATACTATACTTCTGAGTCCCTTTATATCTTCCCCACATTATGAAATACAATGTCATTCTAAGGAGATGGACAAACTTGTAAAGAAAGTAGTGAGCCCGATAGCCTTAGAGAAGACCATGCATTAGTAAGAGGTTAAAGGGGATCACACATTACCACAACTAAAGTTTTGGACACAGGGTCCACAGCCACCACTCCTGGGATCTCAAGTGCCAGAAGGCTGCCTATCTGTTCCTTTCATATGGCTATGGGTGAACCTGACACATTGACTTTCTCTCTTTACCAGCTGGTTGTTTATCACCTTCACCTCTCATCAAGCAGCCTCCTCTTGCCATCAGACACCACTCAGGCAATTTTTAGTCAGTAAACAACTATTTGTAAAATCTGCCTTGCTCTTTAAATTCCTCTTGCAATTGTTATTTGTATTCACTGTCTATCTTCAAATTGTTGCTTAATAATTTCTTTATATATTTGTTGCATTATAGAAGGAAAGTGCAGCAAAAATCTGAAACTATACAGTACTGTTGGGTTGGGCATATAACAATACCCACTGAGGTGTGCAATAAGTATTAAATAATTAGACAGTGGGTAAATTGTTATGTGGGGTCACAAAGAGTCAGACACAACTGAGTGACTGAACTGACTAACTGAAATTGTTATTTAGATGTCACAAAATATTTTAGTGATACTGGGGGAAAGTGGTTAGGAACACAGGGTACTGTTTTATTCATATTTAAAGTAGAGAAGCATAGGCTCCTACTATAAAAATTCACTAGGAGGTTTTTAGGGATAGATTTGATTTGGATAGTAAGGGATTCCTGCATTCAACTTAGATATTTAAAATTCGTGACCAACTTTGATTTTTCATAATGGTGTATGTAACTTATTTATGCCAGGGAAAGACTAGGAAAGAATGCTTGTCTATCAGATATCTTTCTTATTTTCTCATTTTCTGAAGCATATTTAATAAGATTTGTGGTTGGAGAAAAGTGGAGAGAAGGAAAAGGATGGAGAATGGAACTGCTTTCTGGTGTGTGTGTGTGTGTGTGTGTGTGTGTGTGTGTGTGTGTATGCATGCTCTGACTCTTTGCAATCCTATGGACTGCAGCCCACCAAACTCCTCTGACCATGGGATTTCCCAGGCAAGACTATTGGAGTGGGTTGCCATTTCTTCCTCCAGGGGATCTTCTTGACCCAGGGACTGAATTCACATCTCTTATGTCTCCTGCACTGGCAGGCAGGTTCTTCAAAATATTCTCAAAGTAACTAAGGACAGCCTTGACATTGTACATTGAAAAGATACTAGTGGAGAGTATATGCAGTGGATCCTTTTCAACAACTCAAATATCCAGCCTGATTTTATTATTCACTATCTCCAATGAAACACACTGGCTTAGAAAGTATACTCCTGCAAATTCTGTTTGAGAACTTCATGGAGTTTATACTATTAATAGTCTCTATGCTTATTTTACTTTATTCTTTTCTGTGTACATTCCCCAGTCTCCACTTGTGGAAAACACTTATGGGAAAATATGACAGCAGTAAATATATTCAATGCTTCTCACATGACTAATAAGTTAATAGCCTATTTTGAGTAGCTGCAATTTTGAGTTTTGCCAAGGTTTTTCTTCCCTTTTCAGTCTTACTTGACTTCAAAACAGACTTGTTTGACTTTGAAGAGATGGCTCTTTTGTCAGACTATAAGCTTCCCAGCTTCTCAGTGAATAAGATGATTTTGTTGAGTGTGTTTGAGGTCAGATTTTGTTTGTCCCCATTTCATTTGTTTTTGATTATTTTATATTCTACCTCAGCCTCAATTCTTCTCCAGTTGATAGACTCAGCAACAACCTTCTACACTGCCCAGTATAGACTGTAGGGAGGAAGTTCCACATTACCTTAAGTAAATATCATGAACGGCTCTCTGAGGCAAGATTTGTGGATAGGAAAACTGGTTATTAAAACTCAAGCTTTAGAAGATCAGGTATTTGCTTGGAAAGGAATATATGAAAGATTGGATCAATTTCCATTTAGGAAACCAACCTAAGAAAGGGTCCTTTGCCATAGGAAAGGGTACTTCTTTGGGAATTTTCCTAATTACTAGGCTTTTGTTCTGTTTATTACACCATATAGTTAAGGCATCTTTGTTTCCAGTTGCAAAGAAAAAATCTTACTGAGTCAGAGGTGAAATAGTCATAATATGCAATTCTGTTTACATTTCTCATAGTATTTCCTAAGAAATTTCATATTTGTCATTCATTTATGAGCCAGTTTGGTGAAGTGGGAAGAACATTGGACTTAGAGCCAAATAATCTACTAAAATCAGCTAACATATCTTTCCCTGAAAATATGGCTCTTGAGGAGTCAATGAGATATTGTAATGGCCAGTCTTTGTAGTTTTTATCAAGCTAGAAACATCACAGATCCCTTTAATTCTAAGCCTTGATATCTTCCTCCATAAAACAGAAGGGTTAGGTAACAACTGAGCAGTCTCTGGCTTTCTCGCTCTCACATTGTTTTTTGTTTTTTCTAAACTGGGAGAGGTAAGTAGAGTCAGATGTGATATTGAGATTTATAGTAAGAAGTGTGTATTTGGTCTTCATTCAAGTTTATGGCACTGAGCTCCTAAAACCCTTGGAGTTCCCAGTGCTGAGAGTAATAAAAGTGTCTTTTGTTATGTTAGTGAGGCGACTTCCTAAGGTCTGTTCCAGTTGCCAGGGAAACCAACAAAGAGAATTAGGGGTTGGAACTTTCCTTCCCTCCACACCCACCTTTAGGGAGGAGAGGCGAGCTGGAGGTTGAGTTCAGTCACAACCAATAGCTCATGATTTAGTTAATCATGCTTATGTGATGAAGCCTCCATTAAAACCCCGAAGGACAGGGTTCAGAGAACTTCCAAACTGGTGAACACCTGAAGGTACTGGGTAGGTGGCAACTTGCAAAGGGCAAGGACGCTCCAAGCCCCTTCCCACATACCTTGCCCTATGCATCTCTTCTGCCTGGCTGTTCTGGAGTTATATCCAACCAACAATCTAGTAAGTGAATTGTTTCTCCAGATTTGGTGAAAATTCATCAAACCCTAGGAGGTTCTATATAGGTTTTCAGATCTATAGCTGGTGGCTCAGAAGCACAGGTTACAATCAGGAGTTGTGATGGGCATCTGAAGTGTGATGAAGTGAGTGGTCTTGTAGGATTGAGCTCTAACCTGTGGGATCTGATGGTATCTTCAGGTAGATAGTATCAGAAGTGAGTTAAATTGTAGGACACCCACCTGGTGGTATCTGAGAATTGCTTGGAGGTGTGGAAAAAAACTCATCCACTGGGGCTGGGTGCAGAATCCCAAGATGGTATTAAAAAAAAAAAATCACAAATTTCACAAAAGAAGAACTGGAATAAAGAGGCACAGTGAGTGACCTGAGTGACTAGAGATGAGGGATGAGCAATCAAACGCTTTCCCCACTCAGCAGTGTTTTCCTCTGGTGTCTCAGATGCTGGCAGGGGGAGCTTTGAGTGGTCCTCATACTTGGACAACTTTTCACTGAATGCAAATGATTTTAGTATAGAAAGCAGCAGGTCAGACCTCAGCTGTGTCCCAGAGGAGCTTAGTTTTGTTTTTATTTTTTTTTGCCAAAAAAAAACAACAAAAAAAACTCCCTGGGTATAATGGAAATGTTGGAGTTCTGAGCTGCTAGCACCTGAGAAGAGTTGCATGGTCCATGGGCAAGGGGGATTATCTTTCTAAGACTTGTTAATTGTTCAGGAAGTGGGTCTGTGAGTTTATTTCCTTTTAAAACTAATGGTTCTTATCATTTTGATCCATGAACTGCTTTGAGAATTTCATGATGGGTAATATAACTGTTTTACAAAAATGCAATTTGAACCAACACAGAGAGTTTTTGTAAATAATCTCAGTGGGTCCAAAAAAAAAAAAAAAAATCCCCTGGTAGCCATACAATAGGTCTCTTAGGTCAATGGTCCTGAAAATTTAGTACACAGAGGAATAACACTAGGACAACATTTTCAAAAATTCTGATTCATTAGATATGAAGGAGCTGGTCCTCGTATCCTGAATTTTTAAAAGCCAGCAAGAGAATGCTGATTCAAGCAAACAGGACTCAATACTAAGAAACATTGTTACAGGGGTCCCTGGCTCTTAGTTAAGAGACGCTGTGTCAGACTGCCTTAGAATTCCAGTGTTCCCAAATACATTCCCCAGATTAATATCGTCTTTCTCAAATTCAATCTGAAAAAGAAAACCCAAGTCCCCATCAAATGAATTAGCCACACTGGAGCAAACACCAAACACAAAGTAGATTTTTGTCCTGATTGAGCCACTTTGGCTGGCTTCCTAGTTGGGCATCAACCAGTTGTGTATTCAATTTCCAAGTCCCTGGGTGACAGGATGCCTGTCTTCATACAAGTATGGGAACTTACCAGCTGCAGGGTACAGTACAAGAACTGTCACATAAGAGTGGGCTGGCCTGGGTGAGACCATTCTGGGTTTACTCTGAAGCACAGCATCAAAAGAGTGGTTACAACTGAAAGTTGAGATCAGAGCCAGAGAAGTGGTGATCAGCAGATCTCTGAGCAAGGCAATTCTGTCAACAGAAGGTAAAGCAAGGTCTCAGGAGGTCTGACAGTCGGTAACAAGGTTTGAGTGGGATGGAGCAAGCAGTTCAGGATGGAGGCTGTGAACAAAATGAAGTTGTTGGTCTTATCACACCCTGACCAGCTTAAACTTCACACTAAACTTGACTGGGCACAAAATATTCTCTGTGGACATTTGCTGATGAATGCTTCCTAACAGAGGTTCAAGAAATAAAAACCCTGTGGGTGGTAAAATTCGTCCCTCATCTTCTTTCTAATGACTATTTCTTAACAATGAATTTAGGCAGAAATCATGAATAATTCTTTGTATGTCTTTTTCATTAGCAATCTTCTTTGTTAGGGTATTGTTTAGTTCGGGAGTTGGAAAATGTTTTATCTGCAGTGCCAGATAGTAAAATGTTTTAGGCTTTGTGAACTACAATACAGTCTCTGTTGTATGTTCATCATTTTTTCCTTTTCACAATCCCCTAATAATGTGAGCACTATTCTTGGCTCTCTGGCAGTATGAAAACAAGGCATGGACTGGATTTGGGCCCCCAGCCTGTTGTTTGCTGACCCTCCACTAGATTGTCTCAATGATAAAATAAGATTATTTTGTTTTTACAGGGTGTTTGATATTTTCTGATAGTAAGTATAGTCAATGGAAAAAGTTTGTAGTTATGTGTTCCCCATTGAGAATATAACCCCTCCGTTATGTACTGATAGGAGAGCATAAAGTCAAATGTATGAGAAAGTTTTCTACAATGAGTCCCCCTATAGCCACCTAATATTAAAATCTATAAGGGAAGAGTTGAATTTTAACTGGGTTTCACTTGACATAAAAATTCAGACTTGATGATGATCTGTCACCTTTAGGCTCTGATTTTTAAAATTAACTCATATGATTTCGGTTCATTATATTTAAAAAATATATGCATATTATGAATTAAGTAGATGATTATTTCACTGAGTACTACCATGAGATTTAAGTCCAAGTAGACATTTGAGCATAGGATTATTTCAGCTATCAGCAGTGCTGCCTTAACTGTTGCCACATAATGGGACTAAAACAGAGGTAAATTTAGTAAAGGCCAAGTGATGTCATGGTTCTGAAGTCCTTTAATAGAGGAAAAATAGTTGGATATAGGATCATCACATAACACATGGTATATAGTACAAAACTAGGACAGTCCTATGGCAAAAATGTTCCATATCCTTGTTGGAGCAGAAGGGGTTCAATTTCAGCCCTGTAGTATTTCAGTCACATTCAGTTACTGCTGTTAATTTGAATATTTGAATTTTGGTGAGGATATATTTGTAAATTTGTATGTAACTCGCCCTGTTATGAATATGTATGTGTGTGTGTATGTGTATGTTCAATTTAGATCAATCCCAAAGGTATTAGGAGGCTATTCCTGCAATCAGTATGAAAATGGAAAGAGCCAGGAACAAGGCTGGTGCAATCATGTTGGTTAGAGCGAGTCTGTGCTCATTGACACAAAGATGCCCTATTCTCTGGGATGATACTTTCTGAGTTGGGGCAGTGACTGGCTGAAATTTAGCCTCACATGTCCCCTCAACTGGGCACTCTTGTTCAGAGGTATGCTCCTGCCCTGCGTGAAAGAGAATGAACTTAAGAGATAATGTGTCCATATAATCTTTGAGACCTGGTAGCCAGTTATATCTGGGGATCAAGTATTCCTCCCCACTTCTGGCTTTGGTTGGTAAAGAATCTGCCCGCAGTGTGGGAGACCTGGGTTTGATCCCTGGGTTGGGAAGATCCCCTGGAGATGGGAATAGCTACCTACTCCAGTATTCTGGCCTGGAGAATTCATATAGTCCATGGGGTGGCAGAGTCAAATATGACTGAGCGAGTTTCACTTTCACTTCTGACTTTGGTGATTATTGTTTTAAAACACTATCTGATTCATTGAATCCTTCACACCAGTCACAATAACTTAGTATTGACTTTGGGAAAACTTTGGTGTGGTCAAGAAAAGCAAAAACCAAGAAAAGAGTATTTAAAGAGGGAAGAAATGGCAGCAATAAGAAGGGACAAGATGTCCACTACAAAGTAGAAACCTAAAGAACTAAACTTCTTCTTTCCTGTGTGTGTTCATCAGGAGGTGTCATAGGCATGAATTCACAGTGTCCCCTACTGCCTCACTCGGGGTCTGTGCCGGCATGGAAGAGTGTGGTCTAGTGTCACCTGGATGGAGGATGTTTTAATGCCAACTTCCCTAGAGGTGGACTCAGAGCTGTGATGCTGAGAAGCAGGACTGAGTAGGGTAGAAGAACTGGAAGATGCTTCTTTAGGCATAGGGAAATGGGGCAGGGAGACCAAGCAGAATTTAGCTGATCATCCCTCTCTTCACTTCTCAACAGAAGCAGATAGAGGTAATAGTTTTGTGCTGAACACTTACGTTTTGCAAAAGAAAGATGATAGGCATATAAGAGAACCAAAGGCAATATTCTTCATCCTTTGAGTGAAAGTGAAAGTTACTCAGTCGTGTCTGACTCTTTGCGACCCCATGGATTATACAGCTCATGGAATTCTCCAGGCCTGAATACTGGAGTGGGTAGCCTCTCCCTTCTCCAGGGGACTGGAGTGGGTAGCCTCTCCCTTCTCCAGGGGATCTTCCCAACCCAAGGATTGAACCCAGGTCTCCTACATTGCAGATGGATTCTTTACCCACTGAGCCACAAGGGAAGCCCAAAGAGGCCTTAAAGGAGGATAAATTAGGTCCATTTTTTTTGAGTATGGAGAAGAGGAACAAGATATGCTTAGTGGAAAGGAAAGCAAATTCAGAGGCAAGAATAAACAAGTGGAGTTCAAACACAGCAGAGCTTAATAGCATCTCACAGCTGGTGAAATAATACTACTCTCTTAGTAAATGTTTCCATACGAGAAGCCCCAAAGCACCTAGAGCCTAGAGGTGTCCTGCCCCCTTAGTGGGGGCTTCTTAATGTTGAGCCAGGCTTTTGCTTACTTGAGCCTGATTACTTTGATTCTTTTCATCTTGAGTTCACAGGCTTAGGCAAAGCTGAGCAGCTGGTGTGTATTTTTGTCCTCTTGTGATGGTGAGCACTTTAACTATTAGTCTTTGAAGCCTAGAAACACATGGCAGTAGCTTTTACCCCATGTCCTGGAGCCCTTAATCAAGTTGATGTTTTGTTTGGTTATGTTATAATAAGATTTAAGGACAGTTTGCATGTCATCCTTTCTCTATAATTGTAGTCATTAAATGCAACCCCAGACAAGGTGTTAAACATTCTTGGAGATGGTTTAGTGATGAAATACCAGGTCTTTCTGACATTAATGGTCTTTGGTGGGATTGACTTAGTAATAGCCGTGAAATGGGTGACTTATGGCAATGAAATGCTAAAAGGGCCAATTACTGCATGGTGATGGACAAACCTTTAATATAATGATATATCTGTCCCTTTG